CCCGCACACCACGTCTCTCTCCTTCGTCCCGTTCACCAGCACGGCCTTCCCGGCCCGGGCGCAGCTGAGGCCAATGGAGAGAGTTGGGGTCAGTAATTCAGGTCCAGATCGTGCCAATGAGACACATGGCCCTCCCCACCCCATCAAGCCGCCTCTCACAAAGACGTGTGAGTCTGGGTTTATGGAGATTTTTTAAAAATATGTTTTTATTGATCAGAGAGAGAGAGAGCGAGAGAGGAAGAGAGAGAGAGAGACATAAATGTGAGAGGGAAACATCCATGGCTGCCTCCTGCGTGCCCCCGATGGGACATTGAGCCCACAACCCAGGCCTGTGCCCGGACTGGGAATCGAACCTGTGGCCTTTCCGAGCACACGATGATGCCCAACCAACTGAGCCACACTGGCCAGGGCCATGCCAGGTGTTAAAGGGGCGCACGCACACGTGGACCTCACTCTCCGTGCTGGGCACTGCCCACGGGAAGGCGCGCTGATTGGCGAGGGAGGGTACAAGGCAGCGAGAGACGGGAAGGACCCAGAAGGGACGGGGCAGGCAGGGGCTGGCGGGCAACTCTGACCCGGAGGCTCGGCTTCATTTCCCGGAAAATGCCCGCTTTGCAGAGCCAGGCGCCCCTCCCCGTGCCGTTCCCGCCCTGCCTGGCGGGACGGTGTTCCGTGCCTACACTCGGTCGATTTCAAAAAGCTCAGTGAGTCTGGCCAGTGTGGCTCAGTGGTGGAGTGTCAACCTGGGGGCCAGGAGGTCACGGTTCGATTCCCAGTCAGGGCACATTCCCGGTTACGGGCTCCATCCCCAGCAGGGGGCGTGCGGGAGGCAGCCAATCGATGTTGATGTTTCTTTCTCATGGGTGTTTCTATCTCTGGCTCCCTTCCTCTCTCTCTAAAGTCAATAAAAACTTCCTTTTTTAAAGCTTCCATGATGACATTCTTTGTCTTTAAGAAAATTAGCCCGGGCTCCTCGTTGCGTGAGCAAAGGGAAGTTATACGTACTCCGTCCACGGTCGGCAGGTGCCGCGTTTCTGATCGTTAAATGTCCCCGGGTCACAGTCTTTGCAGCCTGGCATAGAAAGTATAAAAAGCAAAAATCAGAAAGGAAGGATCTCCATTGTTTCGTAACTTTCCCTGCGATGGCCATACTCCATAATAAAGCCGTGAACTTTAGTCAATCTACACAGATTGTTCAAGGATTCTTGAGACCAAACCCTGAGATGAATCAACGTCTGAAGCGCCCGGTCCTGGTGAATAACAAATGGGCTTTCAAATAGTTGGTAAATATCCTATACTTGACGCAGCGGTTCATTGCTTGTAGCTTTAAGGGTCGACAAATGTACGCTTGATTTTACATTCCAAAGGCCCAGCCTGCGCCTGCTGCATGTTATCTTTATTTTGGCTTATTAAGAGTGTGGGATTTTTTTTTCAATTTAATTGAATTTATTGGAGTGAGCTTGGTTAATAAAATTGTATAGGTTTCAAGTGTATAATCCTATATAATAAAAGCCTAATATGCTAAGTGTCCGGTCAGTCAGTCGGCCGTTCAACCAATCCAAGCGTAATATACTAATGATAATCTAAGGCCACTCAACTGCTTGCTATGACGTGCACTGACCACCAGGGGCAGACAGTCGACTGGTCAACCAGTCACTATGATGTGCACTGACCACCAGGGGGCAGATGCTCCGACCGGTAGGTTAGCTTGCTGCTGGGGTCCAGCCGATCAGGACTGAGCGAGACAGGCCGCACACGCCCTAGAGCTCTCCCACGGTCCCTCCCCAGCCCCGATGGTGCACCACTGGGGTCCTTCGGCCTGGCCTGCACCCTCTCGCAATCTGGGACCCCTCGGGGGATGTCGGAGAGCTGGTTTTGGCCCGATCCTGCAGGCCAGGCCGAGGGACCCCACTAGTGCATGAATTCCCCCTCCCCCACCCCCTTTCCCTCTGGTCATCACCATACCATTGTCTGATTATGAGGTTTGTTTTGTTTTGCTTAATCCCTCCACCTCGTTCACCCAGCCCCTCCCTTATTAAGAGATATCATCCTGTATGCTATTAGCTTGTGAAATCGCCACCGTGAATCGGTGCTAAGTACATTTTTAAAAGACACACACACACACAAGAAAAGACCAAGACCCAGGTTTGACGACAAACTTGCACTAATGGCTGATCGCACACGCACCGTGGTCCGTTACTTCTTGACCTTGCCCGCAGTCCTGCTCACACATGGCGCACCCGGCCCCTCGGCAGTGGAACCCCGGGACGCACTTGCACTCGGCGTCGCTGGTGGGGGAGCACCCCTTCTTAGTCCTGAAAACACCTGCAAGGCCCCCCCCCCCCCTGGCCCCACC